CGTGATCCCTAGCTTTAAGCCATTAGAGCCATTAATCACTAAAATACTACAGCAGAACAGCAGCATCGACCAAATGTTATTCATAGCAAGAAGTTATAATTAGTGTTTTGTGAAGACTTGTCGATGCATGATATCATGATATTTATAACGTAATCAGAGCTTTGTTCTGGCTGGCTGGCTGCAGACAGAGATTACGCATTTTTACACAATAACTGCTTCCTTTAATCACGAATGCCCTGGTTGTGATACATAATACTAACTGCTGACTTCCCTGCATATGAAAGTCTGGGATTGCTTGGCTTGTCAAGGTGCCATCTTCAATTGGGGCGAAGTATACTATTTAGAAGGTAGCCCACTAAAATCAAGGTAGAGGCGCAGTTAAGCCGGGTTTGGGAAAAAAGCATGAAAAACAGCGAAGAACTTGAAAATGGGACCCCTTCCTTGCCGTTGATTTCCGCATTGATGCGACTCTCATCGGTGCTGCCCTCTTCAACGCTAACGCTCTCTCTCTCTGCTAAACGGCTAGAGACTCAGACACGAGACGACGCGAGAGGGGGCGTACCGTGCCTGCGCCAACTGCTCCATGGGGAAGACCATGCGGCTACCGAAAGCATTTCCTTCCCGAGAATGGCGTGTCAGTCTGCACCTCTAGTGATCCGGCTGCCTTCCCACTGGGTGAGCTCCCGCATCTTCGACCTCATCGTGGAACCCTCCACTTAAGGCATGCCCTCTGCGCCCTTACTGTACTTCCGAGTCACGAGAGTGTCCCGGCACTAAATGAAGCCGATGTGTGGGCGCCTCAGAACCCATTACCTCGCTTACCACCACAGTTGCTCTAGGGATCTTAACGTGACCAGTGCCTTTAAGTATACGGTAAGGGAACCAATCGAATCTCGCAAAACCCAATCAACCCTTCATCGTCTAGGATTACATTAGCACTGAAATAGGGAGCAAGGGTAGCGCCAAATTTGACTATATAGGTCACGACTATTCAACAAATCGATGCATTGCACAATTCAGAAAAGGTTAATGTTTACCATTCAGTGGGTTAGCCGAGGTTCTTATTGGCGTCTATAAGCAATTTTATCACAGTTCGCATTGCTCAGAACACTGCTTCCTATTGGTGCAGATTCGTTGTCAATTACTATTTCTGTAGCAAAACGTCGACAATTTGGACAGGATGAGCGACAAATGACGTGCGTAGACGTTTTGAGACGACCGTAGGAAATGAGATAGCCGTTGAAACGGCGTAACAATATTAGATTGTTGTTAACGTCACTTGCAAGAACGGAATGTTCTAATAAACAATGTCAACGATTAGACTAAAACGGCAACAGGGAGAGACCAATATGATAATCAGCGCTATAAAGATCGGGGGGAGAGAAAAGCTCACCGGCAACGCGGACGCGAGCGCGTGCAGGTGACGTCACAGCTGCGGCAACAACACGAGAGGAGGGACTAAAATGTCGCTGCCACTTTGTTTGGATAGTGGAAAAGTAGCCCCTTGCTCAATCCCTCGCCGCTAGTGTGACGTCAAAGTGACGTCACCCGCACGCGCTCGCGTCCGCGCCGCCGATGAGCTATTCATTGAGCCAAGAACATCTTCTCCTCAGAACTTGCTCCTTATTGAGCTGAATATGGAACTGCAGTAATCAATGGACACCTCAGCCCCTTCTTGGCACAAAATGTTATATTTAAAGGCTACCATGCACATGATGACATATTGTTAGTGCGAGGTGATATAGATATCATCGTCTGGCTCAGCAAGTCATGTAGAGGTTCAGTCGCATTCAAGATGTCACTACGATAAGGAGCGGAAGTTGGATGCGCGGCGCATTCCAGGGAAGAGGCTTATCAACGTCCTCACTCTTTTTCTTGTGCTATTTCAAGAGACGGAGATCGTTACGATGCATTAATGAAAAGCCGATTTGTAATGCTTCGTAAAGATACCGATCAGATCGAGCAGCTTATCCTTCCCATGCTTACTTCGCTAAGTAATCGCAAGTAAGCTTCTTGTCAGCTACTCACAGCTGATCCGAGTTTTCGCTCCTACTAAATATAGTCGGTTAATCAGCCGCTCTGCATTGGCTATTTAGCGTCCATGTTTCATTTGCAGAAACTCTTTCATCAGCTTTTTTGCTCAGCGTAAATGTCAGGCATGACATCCCTTCCAAGGGCGCTCGCCCTGTTTGGGAAATGCTCCCGGACATTGCTCGGGCCTAATATAGCTTTTAGAATGCGCTTGAGGGAGCGCTATTAAAATGGTCTTGGAGAGCTACGGAGGTTCCTTCTAGGACTTAGTCTGAAGGGGGCAGGAATTTTGGAGGAGATTAAAGTTGCACACGCACCTTGGATTCTTTCCCCTCCACCTAAGACTTGGTCCTTTTTGAGAGAAAAGAGGTTCCCACGTGGTTTGAATGCTCTGCCACCACAGTGCCCCCTATCTTGCGATAGCGCTCGATATTGTTTTGCGGATCTGAGGAGACGATATTATGGGCAGAAGCAGCAGAGGTGAAAAATGTGGAGCAGTCAGCTATTAGGGTTTCATGGTTACGGTATCTTCTAGCGAATACCCTTTTAGGGGGGTGGGCAAAGTATGGGGTCTCGCTGTGAGGCCAGGGATGTCTAGAGCAGTGGGATGGAGCTGTATAACAAATAAGGTATGGTGTCTGTAACAATCAGTGGAAGCTGTAGATTAGAAAGTAATAGCAAGGGCACTGAATAAGGAGCTGCTACAGATGAAGCTTTTGACTTTGAGCCAAAACGAACACCTTGCACTTAACAGGAAGCACAGTTCATGACACTGTTACGGTCATATCCTATAAGACCCCTAGAAAAACCATATCGAAATAACCTTCATTTCAGTCGTCGGCGGTCCGCGGTCTTCCACATGTGCCGATTTTCTTCCACTGGCTTTCATCAGCCGAAAACTTCTGCCAGCTATCATGTGTCTTCCGCCGTATCTTCACGATAACGTACCGGTTAGGTCGATTTTCCTTTTTTCTTGACAAACTATTTTTAAATTAGCTTGGGTAATTACCGCTATGTTTGCATTTGATATTGTACATGCTGGGCGGAAGTGGTGTAGTGGCAAGTGGCGCGCTCACCACGCGAGCGGTCCGGGGATCAAATCCTGGGTCGTGAGTCGCCCGGGCCAACCAAGCCTTCCATCCCTCCGGGGTCGGTTAATTGGTACCAGACTTGTCTGGGAGGATAAAAACACTGACTTGTACATCGGCTGGCCCCCGCAAGTCATTGTATAGGCCACATCGCATTCAAACGCCACTACGAATGTACAAATGGAAGTAGAATGCGTGCCGCATCCCAAAAAGGGATTTATCAACATCGAATGCTTTACCCTTCATTATTGGCCCTGCTTTATACTTTATCCCTTGTGTATTGGCGGCCGAGTTTTGTCCCAGAACCTCCAACCACACTTTTAGCGCGACCTCAGCTGAAAGTATGATTTTGCATGAGCACCTTTGGGCTAGTATGGTCATTTGGTTCGGAAGGGACTTTCCACATATTTCAAAAGGAATTCGGAAAAAGTTAAAGTCACACTCCACGACTATTGAGTTTCGGTATCGCGCTCGACAATGAAATGAAAACGCGTAGGGGACCGACGCTGAAGCGAAACTAGCAATCTTTCTAACTACCAAAGTTAGTCCTCCTTTATTGTGAGTGCGAATGTGCAATTATTGGAAGACGAAACTCTGGCCAGAGGGTTGTAAGCGGAGAGTATAATCGGACGAGGTGAGCGGCAGAAGGCGCTAATTGTGCGTGGCGACGCCACTGCTCCACCAAACCGAACGAGCCGTAGGCTCTGTAATCGCCACACATTTCGAGTTTCGTCAGTGAAATTAGCTCTGCAACTGCCTATTACTCAGCTACCCTATGGGACAAAGGTAGTTCTAACAACCTAATCGCGACAGCTGTCCTTGTCCCCTTATATATAGCGAATTCTTTCTAATCTCAACTGGTCACAAGTGTTCATTTTTGAAAATTATTCATGACACTGATGCTATTATTTCTGGATATGTGCAGTCTGTCACTCTGTCGCGTCCAACCTGCTTTCGTCACGTTATCTCGTTTAAGTTTTTTATTTCCACAAGCCTCAAACCGTACTCTTTAAAAAGATTATATGCTGACTTTGAAAGCAACCAGCTTCCTTTCAGCGCCAACTTGATCTGCTCGCAGGACTTGCAGCGCTCTCGGATCGCTGTGATGCTGCTTCCCTCCAGCAGTTGCTGTCCTGTGTCTCCCTGTGTTCTGCTCACCATCCGGTCATAATCCACGCTAAATCGAGTACGTTTTATGTTTACCAATATTTATGTTTATATAAACTTTATATCTACTATAAAATTTGTAAATTATTTATACCAGATACATAAATATAAATGTAAAACATTACTTACAACAACTTTACTTTGAACTTATTTGTTTTTTGAATATTTTTTATCTTTCGAATTTTCACCCTTTCTGACGTGTATTTGAGGACTAACCCGGTCTAGAATCATGTGCATCAACCAACAGTCCAGTACGCATACATTAGTTCACTGATATCCATTACTTATCTATTTATTTATTTATCTGTTTATTTATTTCTCTACTTTTTTGTTTGTTTATTTATCAAATTGTCAGATACATGCAACATGTGCTATTAGCACATCACCGTCAAAACTAGTGAGTACAAAGAAACTCGCTATTTTCAGTACATAGATCTTGGAAGACCCTTTTTCGGAAATAGGCTTCCAATAGCCTTTTGATATTTCTTTTCTGCATAATTTGCCAATTGGAAGAAATTTGAGCAGGATATTTGCAGGGTTGGTGCAGCGGATCGTGACTCGGGACCCGGTCAGAATGAAGGACGCGTCACAAGTTTGTGTGCACCTGCTCAACCCGTTGGTAATTGGATTGAGCTGCAAGGAGCTGAGGTTCGACAACTGTTCTTTGATGTTCTTTCCATTCTCGCGCTCCCCACGGAAACTTACCTATCGGTTTGAATACATGGATTTTCACCGAACTTTATCGAAATTCGCCCCCCCTCGTTGGGTTATGGTACGAACTCAGCGAGACCCTGCGATCGGCGGGACTAACGCTAGGGAGGAGAAGAGGTTTGGGCTGAGACCTTGTCACTGTCTAGGTACCTTTTAGCGGTCCTATCGCGTAGACCTGTGAGTCGTAGCCATGGCTGTGCCCCGGAGCCGATAGCGCTGCTGGGGGGCTATGCTTAGATCTGGCCGGACAGGAAATACCACATATGTCCAGCGAAAAAAAGAATACGGTTCTGGCGTCTTGCGCCTTTGCGCACACCGGCGCTACACCATCCCCGATTGCGCCGGCATACTGGTCGGCAAGTTTGCAAAGCTCTCTTGCAGCGGAACTTGTTGCTGATATATCGTATTCTTACGGATCAAAGCTACCCTTAAACGACAACGTTCCGGCACATTTGGTGATGCGCCCCAAGTGCCAGCGCCACCTGGCTCCTGGCGCCCACGCTACAAGTGTCGATATTTGTGGCGTTTTCGCTGAACGAACGAATAACTTGCGTTTTACGTGTGTCGAACCGCCCCCGCCGGGGCATTCTAGCCGAAAAAAAAAAACAAAAAAGGACGTAAAGGGAACGATTGCGTGGGAAGAGAAGAGGAAGACAAAAAAAGGGGGTGTCGACCTAGAGGCGAGGACGATGGAAAAAACGAGTAACCAGTGGGATAGGGGAGCGGTCAATCACCAAAAGCACAGGAGGGAGCAGAGCCATGCAGGTGGCCGTGCAATAAGTAGAAGAACTGCGGTAGGGGGAGAGATAGCGCTAATCTGACCGGGGTCTCCTATAAATGGTGGGTCGGAGTGCGCGTGCTGTAACATACAAATTTCGTCTAACAAAAATCCGGCCTCAGTTTCCGGGGTAGCGGGGCTTTCAAGGGAGGGGGAAGGACGTAAGCAAACCAGCCCTTTTGGCGCTTCGGCTGGGACCGTATGCTGAATGTTGGGGAGGGGATGGAGTCCCCGACGGTGGACGGACCACTTCAACTCGGTCCTTAGAACCGCCACAATTTGGTGCTTACCTCAGAACTAAGCCTTAAAGAGAGGACGGAGAGTACTCCGGGTGCGCTTGAGTACGCGGCAGGGCGCGAGCCGTTAGTCCTAAAGGCGTGAGGCGAAACCCGGGCGGGCTCGTTCTTGGAACGGAGCTGCGCCAGGATACTGCCCACTTCGTAGTACTCTCCTAGTCGTACCGGGAGAGCAACGCGGCACTGTCACCGCGTCGGGAGATTGAGAGTAAACCTCGACCTGTTTAGGGGGACCTCATCCCCTCCCTAACATAACAACGGTCCCAGCCGCCCAACCCAAAAGGCTGGTTTGGCTCTACCTCCCTAGGAGTGTGCAGTAAAACGGTAAAGTAGTGCTAGCGATTCTAAACACCCTGTTCCTAATTCTACATTTCTGGGTTTACAAGCTCTGCCCATTTTGACGATGTCATGAGTAGCGTACGAATTCTTCTGGACTTGGTCGAACAGCTACGGTACGAATCGGATGATCGCCTGCAGCAACAGCAACTTGGGCTTGGGTAAGTTTTGAATGACTGATCTGATGCTTCTCAACCACGTGGTTTTCTTTCTTTTCAGAAGGCTCGGGAATCGGCGGGTGTCAATGAGTAGCACGAATCTGCCTCGAGTAATGATTAGTGCCGCACGTCCGTCTTTCTCTAACGATTCAAGGTACGTTCGCGTGGCTCGTTTCTACCTCCGATTCGAGCATGTGGCCAACCCCTTTGTCACGTTCTGCCTTCCGAAGGTGGCTTTTATACTCGGCGAACGTGCAGCCGGTAGCCTCGGCAACAGGGTTTTACTAGCGGGCTGCGTTTGTGATGGTAGTCTCGTGGACGGGACAAAGCTGGTAAGGAAACAAGAGTCCTGGCTATGACCCTTGAAGGCATCTTGCACAGAAATCATGGGGCTTCATCCATACCAAAATCTTTGGGCCTCCTGCCTTGCAAAAGTAATAAGGAGGGTTAAAAGCTGGCGTTCATTCTTATAAGTGAATTCGAATAATCAAGTAGACTGTAGGGAAGTTGAATTTTTCTGTAATCAACTTGGTTGTTCGGTTTTCTCTCCACCGTAAAACTGTCACAAAATTTGACAGTGGGAAAATTGGCAAGTTTATACGTTTTGGACGCGTTGACAAGAACGAGTTCCACTTCAGATCTTCCCAATACCTTACACGTGATCGCACCACCACGTTCATTTCGTGGTCCCTTTAACTCCGCCCTCTCTACCACCAGCTGTCCAACGAATGAGCTTTTCTAAAAACTGTCTCTGTTTGAGATTTCATTTTTTTATCCGAAACATTCCACATGGTCTTTGACCCCGTGCAACATCCCTTCAGAAAAAGGAAGAGATCGCCTTCCCGGACATGATGCCTTCAATTATGAAACGACATTTGCTCATAATCAACACGTGGTTTCCGTAATAAATGCAAGCTCTGAGCAAGTTCGCCGACTATAAAAGCAGCTAAAAGGAACAAGTAGTGGCGTATTAACTTCTACTCTAACCAAACCTTTCTGTGCACCAGAAAAAATCCACAGCACCAACAGTTTTCCAAAAAAGACCTATTATTGTGTTCGGCTCCAACCAAGCATGCACGCTGCTTTGCTTCATTTCAGGAAGATGTCATTCCTGTCAGCTGACGGTCGTCTTGAAGATCGAGGTCGACGAGAGTCGAGAGACAGTCGAGGATCGCTCGAAAGTGATATGAGCATCCGTATCGGTAAATAAGTTTACAAACTAACATTTTATCTCGGTATCTCATGTGAAGTGATGCTTAATTGCTTCTTAGCTTTTCCCCATTCGCTTCAGTAAAAGTAGAATTTTATGGAATCGTTCTCTTTCCCAGTGGTTGCTAAGAGTTCAATGGTTCTAGGTAACAGTTCGGATGTGTCGGACGATTCTTGTCACAGTGGTGTGTCGCAAACGGCACGAGGACGACGACAGTCGTGGCTCGAGTGCTATGCGCACTCGATGTCGCTCGAACAAGGTGCCTCGTTCGCGGACGCGAAAGTCGGCGACCGTCCTTCAGGTACGGGCTAATTTCTTAATACCCGTGTTTTTATCTACTAACTAGCATACTCTTCTGAATATATATATTCAGAAAAGTAAAACCTTACTGCATTTTTCTCAATAAAAATTCGACGTTCTCTCTTCTAGCATTCTCCTTTCATTTAGAAATATAGTAGTATTTTTTAATGCTATTCGATTTGAGTTGCGGGGCCAGACGATGTATAGCTCAGTGTTTCCAACTTCCCTGATGAATCTGACATCAACACCGACCCTGGAGAGGATTGGTTGACTTTCAAAGGCTTACCAGTCAAGAGTTCACCCTGGACCCGTACGCGGTGTAAGCCAGCTTTCGTTCTGCCACTATAGGCGCTTCCAGTCAATTCGAATGCTCCAAGAAAACACGAAATACCTAATTGCTATTATCCTGGCAGCCTGGATGTTCACCCCCCCCCCCACCCCTCCTCCTCCAAATAAATTTTGATGGTGATGGTGTATAAAAGGCAACGGGGCAGTATGTCTAGGCGGGCGTTTGATGGTTAGTAAGTGGCGCTTTACTTGAAGCGCACAACCCAGTACGAGGTGAGCGAAATGATATGGTCTCATGGAAAATCTGGAGCGTTTAAGTGGCTTTGTGCCCCAGATTACGATGCACTAGTACCCACATATATTACAATCAGGTGTTCAAAGAGGCGGTTGGGGCTAGCTGAGCTTAAGGTGAGTCTATTTTCAAGTTTGTCATTAGCCTGAACGAGGACGCGAGCGCATTTGAGGCAGCGGTCCCATTGCGACCCAATGTTATTGGCACTGGAGCAGCTAGAGTTAGGTTCGTGAAACTCGTCCAACGCGTCCCTTCTCTATCCCAAGGTGGAATGCGGCCGAAATAGGGGAGGTTTCTGTTTGGGGCCTCCAGACCACCTCCCACCTCTAGCTTCATAACTGAACGCTTTCCACACCTATTGTTATCCCGAATCTTGCTACTAAAAAGTAGTTTTGGCTGACTTGAGCGAAGGTAGTCTATTGGCAAGTTTGCCTTTAGGCTGAGAATGCGTCTAAAACGAATTCCGGTTGTCAGTGGTTTCCACGGACCTTGCGCAACCAGACTTTCCTTCCCGTCCTATGCCTAAGTTGACTTAGTAACCTGACCTTTCTTTTTTGCGAATCTTCTTCTTGTGACCAAGTAGGAACACTGATCTCTACATTAGTTGTCACCCGCAGATTTTTATATGGACCAATTTCCGAAAAATGCTGCTTCTGAATGAAAGTCGAGTGCCTGGCGTATTCCTAGACGGGGACGTCGGAATGCGTAACGGCTCGCAATCTAGGACGCACGTACAATGCGGACAGCACATAAATGTAGCCTGAGAAAATGTGAATTATCGTCAATAATCTCTCGTTTTGCTACTTTCTATTAGTTTTTTTTGACAATGATGTTTTTCTTTTTTTTATTGAATAATCTGTTTAACGCTTGCGAAACGCTAAATGCCTAGCTGTTTCAGTCTGAAGCGAGGCGGTGGCCGCTGCTCGGAGCGAAGGGCTCGGACCAGATCACCGAATCAGATGGATCCTGACATTCGGCAGGCACCTGCACGGCCGAACAGTTTCACGAATCTTGGCCACAACCTGGTGCTCACCTACCGTACACTTTGGAACAAAGAACATTGACCGCAGAACAGTTAGCCATTAGCCTTCAATGTTTCCGGTTAATCTGAGTGCCCATCATCAATTTTCCTGTGTCTCATCCACGGTTATGTAGTTCCTTTGGGTACGCGACAGGAGGCCCGTAGCGCGGCGGGGAGGCAGGGACGCAGAGGAGTCAGCGGACGAGTTGCAGCGCGTACTGCCGTGATTTCGATTGAGTTCAATAAAATGTACTATAGCATTTCCCACACCACGCTGCGACTCGTCCGCTAATTCGTCTGCGTCTCTGCCTTCTCGCCGCGCGAAGGGCTTCCTGTCGGGAACCCGGTTCTCTTGTCGTCAGTCGCTACTTCAACAACGTCTTACCTTACCAAATATAGTTAATTCTACATGACTTAGGACTTTGCTTTCCACTTTAAGTGGTTCTGACAACGTTAACACAGCTATTCGTTCATTCTGCCAACTGTATTTTGGTTCCTGCTGGGAATTCTTGAAAACAATCAAGGCGTTGGATACGGTAGCGGCTGAGCGCCTAGTGATGACGTCATTATATTCGATTTTTGTGATCTCAACATATTTCGCATTCCCCCGCGGCCAATCTTACGCCAACATATTGTACATACCATATCTTGAACAGCTTTTCACATTGTATTCTTGCCTTATTCTGTCAATCATCAGTGATATTGTTGATATGTGTACGGTAATGTCATCGACTACAACTGCCGATTTACGCGATATTGCGGACCGACAAATTGCAGAGGCCATCATTGTGCGATCAATCGCGCTCTTGTCGTTGATGTCAATTTCATGTGATGTATAAAGTTCTCTAGAGATCGAATCGCTGAGGGAACGAATCAAAATTGGAAAACGCATCTTCCAACCAGGGGAGTTTTCAACGACCCATGAAACTTAGAACTTAGAATGGAGCCTTGGGTAAACAAGGTCAACCTCGAACTTGTCC